GGGGGTAGGCCAAAAATTACCGAACGACGAAGAAAATTTCCGAATATTTTATGGCATACGAAGCTGGCATATGAAGATGTAGGAAAATTGTTTTCAATCGAAAATTTTGGACGACCTCCCCCCCCCGTCGCCAAAAAAATTTCGGTCAGTGTACCATTTTAAGGGTCAAAAATTTTTCCGGACATACCAAATGTCAAATATTAGCTATAAATTGCCTGAATCTCATGATTTTCGTTCAAAAAGCATATACTATTATTGCCGTAATTTTCCGAATGGCCAACCCGATTTTCCGAATATGTTAATTCTACAAAAATTGGGGGGGGGGGAGGGATTAGCCAACCCCCCTCCCCCCCCAATACTCCCCTCGCTACGGCCCTGTTGGGAAACTATATATTATCTACAGTACATAATACGTGCTAAAGGTGAGGTTACACTATATATATATATATATATATATATATATATATATATATATATATATATATATATATATATATATATATATATATATATATAGATGCAGACAGAGGGGAGGGGGGGGGGCATATTGCACCCCTCCTGGAGAAATTGTGGGCCCCCTTCAAAAACGTCTGATCAGAACAAAAAATTTTCGTCACATTTTCATTCCTAGTATTAGTTCGTGAGTAAGTGGAGTTGTTATGTATTAAATAATTATTTAAAATCAACAAACACATCCAAATAGCCTCTAAAATGTTAACTGAAATTACGGTTACGGTTTTCGCAAAGAAAATTCTTGGGGTTAACGAGAAAGGAAAACGCCCCTCCCCCCCCCACCTCCCCCTATAGTGTAGACCCCCTTTAGCAATATCTGCCATTTTAGGTCATGCAAATAAAATTATACTACTACGCATCTCATGCAGTAGATGTGGCATGCTCTCTGTCCCATTTCTGACAGCAATGATAGCCGCAGATGACATCAAATGTCAGCCTAGACCTAGGCCTTCTATTTTTATTTATATATTTTTAATATTCACCGCTTTTTCACATGAAAAGACTGGGACTAGGTGATTTGGGGGCGGGGCGGAGGAAGGACACAAGCCTGACGCAAGCGAAAAAATAGAAGGCGTAGAGGATTTCCCAACAACAAGGCCAAAACTGCCCTGAAACTGCCCTGATTGCGAAATGCCCAATTGTTGCGTTCTCAAACAGAATTATTTGCAACTTAACAGAGTATTTAAACCGATACAGGTAAAATAAACTCATTTATAGTTTAAACTTACTATTTTTATTTGTATACACGTCTAGACATAAAGTTTGAAGCAACACTATTATTGGGCCATTGCATTTTTAAACCAAACCCCCCCCCTATTGAGGACATCCATTTTTTGGTCCC